TTCCAGATAAAACAAGTTTAGAGATTTTAATCGCTGCTCATATGACAATCCCACTATCCCAGGTATCATCCTAGTGGCTCTTCTCTGAACCTTCTACAATTCAATGTGCTTCTTGAGGAAGGGAGCCCAAAACTGTACACAGTGCTCTAACTGAGGCCTTAAAAGTGATCTATACAGTGAAACAATAATAACCCTTGTCTTATATTCAGTGTTTCTGTAGGTGCTATCTAAGATCATATTAGCCCTATTGCTAGGTACAATACACTGTTTAGATGACTTAAGTGATTTTTTCAATCACACCAAGATCTTTTTCTTCAACCAAAATATTTAAGTATTCACATACAATAGTAACAATAATTTGAAAACCTATATGAAAACCTTACATTTTGATAAAATAGTTAGCACAAAGGATCACATATAAAGTGTAATAAACTTAAAATAAGACCCAAAACTTGAGCACTTTCAAATAGTTGACTATTCTTCTTCAGCAGAACAAAGGGTCTTATTTCAAGTTTATTTACCTTACATTTTGGGTAGTTAAACATCATCTACCACATATTGGCCCAATGCATCAAATGATCTAAATCTCCCTGTAAGTTTACAGCATCTTTCATACAGTTAGCCACCCCAAAAATCTTAATGTCATCTGCCAACTTCAAAATTTTGTTAGACATTCCACAGTCAGTATCATTAATATAAATCACAAACACCACACCGTTTGTAACTGTGATCCAGTCAGATCTAACTCCATTTATTACTACTCTCTCCTTTCTTCTCTTGAGCCAATTTTCTATCCAATTTAATAACATTTCCCCACACTTGCATTGTTTGATAAGGTACCTCACAAAAAGAAATTTCTAGTAAGTCAATATTTTTTTTTTTACATAAAGAAAGCAAAGTTATACAGTTTTCCAAGTGATGTGTAACTAGTTATTTGTATAAAGATAGCTACCTCTCTTGACTTGTAAATAATGTATGTACTAATAACAACAGAACACTGCTTTGATGGCCTGACTTATCCTTTACAGTGCCAAGATTCTTTTCTTCACTCAAGATATTAAATGTGTGAATCGAAGGCATTATCTTGCACTTACTATAATTAAAAGTCATTTGTCAAATATGAGCCAAACTTAGCATTTGATGTATGTGTGTTTGTACAACAATAAAACTAGAAATATTCAAGTTTGTTGTCAGGAAACTTTACTAAATTGATAGTTATGCCCCTAAGCCCAATATCAATAACATAAATAAGAATGAACAAAGGTGCAAGCACTATGATTAGTAACAAAGATCCAGTTTGACTCAATTCCATCAATAACAACCTTTTGATTTCTTCCATGCAACCACCAGAGGTCTGGAATAAATTAGTGGTTAAGGCACTTGATTTGCAATCTGCAGATTGTGGGTGTGAATTTCAGAGAATTTACTTGACCTTTTATCTTTGGAGGCATTTATAATTTGACTGTCTATCCAACTATTTGTTTAGAAAAAATCAAGAATTGGTGATGGGTGGTGTTGTCTAGTTGCCTTCCATTTAGTATATTACTTATAAATTAGGGATGACTAGTGTAGATACCCCTCAAGTAGCTTTGCACAAAATTTAAAAAAACAAAACCAATCACTTGACAATGTGGTTAACTAGACTTTTTTTTTCCAATCCATACCAATGTGATTTTCTTAGCCAATCTTTTGTATAGCTACTTATCAAAAGCTTTTTATAAATCTAAGTGCACCAAGTCCACACTTTCCTTTGTTTAGAAAAGTAAAGTTAAAAAAAAAAAAGAACAGATGAGTAAGGCAGGATTTTCCTTTGGTGAATCTATGATGGCTTCATTTATGACATTTCACTAAATGATTTTGTAAAGCTTCTTTAATCAAACTCTTACAATTCTTACAATATATATTAGACTTACTGCTTTATGATTTTTGTTGCATCTTATCTCCACTCTTAAAAATTAGAGTAACAAAGTAACTCTTCAGTGTTCATGACACCTGCCTACTCTATGTTGACCTATTGAAAATGAAAGAGAAAGACTTACCTATCAAGACTCTGGGGAAAAGCCATTTGATCCTAGTGCAGTATCTGCTTTTATTTCAGTATTTCTACTTACCTCCAAGGGAATAATATCTACATGGGCCAGGTCATTTCCAGTATCTTGCATTGAATGCTGAAGATCAGAAATATTGCAAATATCTTTTCTTGTAGAAACAGAAAAGAAAATTTAAAAGCTCGGCCATTTCATAATCTTCAAAAACAACAACTTTCAGCATCCAATAACCCTGTCACTGCAGCTGGGACATACATTTCCCAGTGCATTGGGAAAGATATGTACCAGCTGCAGTGAATGGGTTAAGAGCCCAATCCCCATTGCAAGGTTTTGCTTTCCCATAACATACACTTTTACACTATAAGCCAACAACAACATCTCCCACTCCCCTAGTCCAGAAAGGGTTAACTAAATGTACACATATGCTGATGATAATTTTTTTTCTCATGGTTTCATACTTGGCTTTTAGAAAATTAGGAACCAACATTTCATTTCTTTTTATCTCAACGTCTACAAAACATTGAAACTAATTATGCAATGACCATCACCTCAAATGTTACCTTCCTTCAAGTATTGCAATGACATCTGCATTATAGTAGTTAGTGGTAAATCTAAAGTACCATTTTGTGTAGAAAATCATCCCGAATCACTTCAAGAAACCTACCTCAAATATTTTACTCCTTACAATTCTAGTCAGTGTGCTTAAAATTAGTCTTCCTTGATTATTACCTTAGTATTTTATTAGTAGCAACCCTAGACCTTCTTGTTTACCTCTTCTCTCTGATCATATGAACTGTAATAAACCCCTGATTGTAACCCACATAGATTAATCCTCTTGACTACCATTTTTTGCATTCACTCCTAACAGGCTAAAGTTCATTCTTGATATAAAGAACCACTCCACTCACTTTTTAAAAAATGTCACCTTAAAATAACAGGTAACCTAGAATTTAAAAATAATTCCCATTTTCAATATAATTCAAACTAATCTAACTTTCACTAATTTTCATTTTATAATAGTCTTCCATTCAACTAGAGCTTTGCAATCTTCTATTTTTTTTCATAATACTCCTAACATTAGAATAATAGCAGTTTAGTTTATTCTTAATTCTACTATGTTTAAATGTGAATTTGACTTTTAAAACTATTAACTTATGCTGTGAATTTTCTTTTTTCTAAATTCCTTGTTGCTGTAGGTATCCTATCAATTTGTTTATTATCAGTTTCTTTAATGAATATATTCACAGCTTTCTTGAACAACTTGCCTAACTGAAGCCAATCTCTAGCATGTATTTCACCCTTACCCTGAAAACCATTTCACAGGTCCAACCAGAACCTTATTGTTCTAAGCAACACCTGATAATCATCTTTCATTTAAACCTTGGATCCTGCTAAGCAATTCATTACCACACATTTTATGAGGGAACTACTCATGAAAAAGCCACATATCTATTTCTATTCCTAAACCCCTGAAGTTCTGATTTAAAGTTGCCAACATCATTCTCCTACGTGCATTTGAAAAAAAAACATTTTAAACGTTTTTCATAACCAAATTTTTCAATGCATTTCTAGTCAAAATTGTTTAGCCACATCGTACCATCATTTTTTGGAATCTGTTATACAATCTTTATTGTTTTTTATTTGATTTCTTTGCAGTTAACACAAGCATAAAACCCTGTGAATTTTTATATTTTTTAACTAAAAGACTGATTTTTTCCCTTTGTTTTTTTGCATCAATAAGAACGTATAGCAAGTACAGTGTAGGCAAAAAGTCTGGGCACCACCTCTCTGAAATAAAGATAGTGGACATGAAAGAAAGAATTTATTACATATATCATATTTACACAGAGAAACAAAAGGTTTGATTAATAATCCAAAATGTCTGAATGTTGGCCTTCATTGTCATGACATACGATGATACGTCTCCAGGTGCGATGTGACATCCTCCTTAGCATATTAGGGGTGACCTTAGTGAAACTTCCAACAATTTTTTTGTTTTAAAGTATCAATTGTTTCTTTTTGTTCCCTTGCCACAATCAATACTAAAATGTGAAAAAGTAAATTGGTAGCATGAGCTTTAAATAAGGGAGTGCTCAAACTTTCTTCCCACCCTGTAGTTCAATAAAATCAAAATCCTCCTCTTAGCTAATAGATTTCATATTATTGTAAACTTGGTATTTTTGCTTTTATAATGTGCAGTATTTCATTTATTCATCTATTAAGAAAAAAGTTTTTAGTTGTAATATGAAAGGTATCACTTGATAAAAATGACATTCTCTATTAATTTTACTTGTTACAATTAAGCTTCCACTGAATAAAAACCACTTCCAAATAAAATATTCCAACATTAATACATCCACTTAATTTTATATAATTTTGCACAAGTGTATAAGGATTCTAAAAATTAAATTAAATTGAACTTGAAAGTGTTGAAAGTTGAAGTGTTATCTTATTTAAATTAGTGCTGGGTAAAAAGTAGAACTTAATAATTGATTGACAGGCTCAATAATCAGTTACATTACTGACTGATTATTCTCACAAGACATGAAATTCAGATAACTGACTATTTTCATGAGTTGTGACTAATTATTAAGCTAAACAGAGAATTAATCTAAAATAATAGAGATCATAATGGCAATATTTGAATAACTGGAAATACTAAGTTTGATTAGATGATTATTTTCATGATACTAATTGATGTAATTGATGCTCATTGATAATTGATTAAGTTAATCACCCAGCTCTAATTCAAATAAGTCACTTGAGCTAATCATCAGATACATTGTTTTTTGTTTTTTTTGTGTTTGTATATATATATATATATATATATGTGTGTGTGTGTGTATACATAAATATATATATGTGTGTGTGTGTGTGTGTACACATAGATATGTGTGTGTGTATTGTTTAAGCAAACTCAGTGTATACATCTGTTTTACCAATTCCTTACAGAGAACCAAGCGATTCTTAAAATTATTGAACAACCAACAAACAGTATAAGATATCGGTATAAAAGTGAAAAAGGATCACATGGTGGTTTAACAGGGAAGAGTAGCACCACTTCAAACAAAACATATCCTACAGTAAAGGTAAATTCACACACTTTTTTATGTATAGTTTTTGAATTTTGTTATTTGTTACATATAAATTTAGTTTATTTATAATAGTAAGAACACAATGTTTTTATAGTTATTACTTGGCATAACCTAAATATTCTTTTTGCAAAACAGCTTCAGTTAACAAATATAATATCATGTGGTATTGAGAATTTTGAATGTGAATGACCAATATTTAGTTACATTACATCAACTTGCTTGATTTGTATAATTAACTTTCAATTGATATGGATTTTCACAGGTGCTACTATAGCTTGCGGTCCACAAAAATATTTACACTGTAGCATGCAGTCTACACAGATATTATCATCATTGCCATTTTAGCTTTCATTTATTTGCAATTGATGCCATTTATTATAAATAACACTTAAACTAATAAGGTACAAAATACCATTAAATATGTTTTTGTGGCAAATATAATCAGAATGAAATAAATTCCAACAGTCAAAATTAGCACAATTATAACCTAAATTTAAGGTTCTCTTTTGGAATGCACAACTTATTAGATTATTATTATTTGCTGAACAAAAACATGGACAGATATAAATTATTTAGCAAGAAATTATGTTTTAGTGAATCATTAGAATGGTGATGATGTATCTGTGTAGATTGCACACTATAGTGTAAATATCTTTGTAGACTGCACGCTATAGTGTAAATATCTTTGTAGTCCGCACGCTATAGTGCAAATATCTTTGTAGACTGCACGCTATAGTGTAGATATCTTTGTAGTCCGCATGCTATAGTGTAGATATCTTTGTAGTCCACATGCTATAGTCGCATTGGCTTTTTTTTTCCACTTTCCTTCCCATCGATTTACAATCTCAATAATTATACTATTGTTTGTTTTCCAGATTTTTATGTATAAAACAAGCCTTGGAACAAAACTCTCACCCCCTACATATATTAATAAGGACTGCATCAGTCTTTGATGTAATCATTATTATTCAGTAATCAGGGTTCGTACGCGTCCTGGAA